GGTTTGGAAGTGCATTGAAGACTTTGTAGTAGGAGAAAGCAGATGGGATGTTTGTGGTCTGTTGATTCCTGGATGTGTTGAATGTGCCGTTTCCAAGTTCGCATCAGTCACTGAGGGAAGTGGTGCGCGTTGGCCTCAGCAACGGATCAGGCTGAAAGCCCCCCATAAGGATGGCCTGAGAGGCCAACCCTTGAATTGCAAAGGAGTTTCTAGTGGTTCGTCATGTCCTCGGGCAATGTGCTCCCTGAGAAAGATGCATTTGCATGTGGATGCAGGCTTTTGTTCTTTTGTGTCTGAGCTGAGGTAGTTGTGAAATCTTTGTCCCTTCGAAGTTTTGTTTGTCCGTCCCCCTGAAGGCTTAGCCCTGGACCCGTGGCTCCAAGCAGAACTCCCTGTATTGTGATTGCGTGAATGGTTAAGCCTGAAGTGTCCTGCAGCCACCTCACTGTATTTATTTATGTCTTTGCTGAAGCCCAGAGGTTTCGTCCACTTTGCTTTGTCCCTCTGGTTGATCCAGTTTTCGTTGTCATGCATCTGTGAACCCTAAAGTGTTCCTGTTAGCTGTGAGGGTAGAGGTGCTGTGGTGGAGGAGGTGAGAGGCGGGCTGTGTTTGAAGGAGTTGTCCCGTGTGCTCCCGAGGCCAAGCTGTGGTAGTCCGTGAGATGAGAAGGTCCCTGAGGCGAGCAGTGAGGAGGATGTCAGTGTAAGTGGGAGCATGCAAGTGGTAGGGCCTGGTGGTGAGACCTGAGGAGTGGTCGGGGGCTCAGTGAGTGGGCTATGAGGTGAGCTCAGTCCGTTTTCAGGTCCAGCCAGGCTGAGTGCGATGAGCCATTGAGCGGTGTTGGCCAAGTGTTTTCTTTTGAAGTGTGGTCCATGTCCTTTCCATTGGAAGTAGTTGATTCTTCTGTGGGATGGTCCCTATGACAGTCCGTGGCAAGTTTGTCCATGTTTGGTGATGCTGTGAGACAGACAGCTGTTGTGTTAAGGTGTAATATTTCTTACTGCATTTTCAATGGTAAGTGTTTTCTATTTTTGGGGAAGGAAGTGAGTCACATACATGTGTGTGGTTTTGTTGTGCACCCACTGTTGCATCCAGTTGAGCAGAAGGCAGCCGTTTCCCAAAGCAAAACAGAAGAGGACATTTTGGACATTTGGCCAAGAAATGTGTTTGCAAGGTCTTGTTCCTTGGAAGTGCTGGGGGGTTTCTTAGGGCCGAAGCTTGATGGATCGGTGGATGGGCCATTGTTGAGGTGATGAGGGTGGTTTGTGAATGTTCGCCGGTATGGAAATGTGGGTGTGGATGCAGAAAGGGCAGGCGATGGTGCTGTGTGGTTGGGATTTGTCTATGTTTGGATGATATTAGGTTTGCAATGGGGAGGAAGGGTGAAGTTTTTTGTTTGGTGAGGGAGCCGGCTGTTTTCTCGGACTTTGTTTCCGTGGCGGTGTGTGTGCAGAGGGTCCAGCGCTCGCCTGTGTTCTATTGGCGGACGGAGACTGTCCTCTGGTCCGAGGTGCATGTGGGCTGGTAGAGCCGGCTGAGTGTGGTGCGTGCCTGTGATGCGTGATTGCAGGGACGTTTGTGAGGAGTAAAGCAAGGTACGACTGTTGGTTGTTGAGTGATGTCAGGAAGCCGAAGGTTGTGTCGTGTGTTTAAAGGATAGGTGATCTGTGTGTTTCAGGGCCGGCGAACAGTAGCCCGTGGTCCACTTGGGGGTATGGTGTCATCAGCGGTGTCCGTTACATTGTGAGCAGAGATGAAGAAGGGCAAGTGTGGGGCAAGTGAGATGCGACTGTGTAGGAGTGAGGAGGCGTTTGTCCCAGCCGCTGAAGCCATTTGGCAGCAGCAGGTGATGGCTTGTGTTGTTTGTGAGGTTTGAGAGGCCGTGTCTGCTGAAAGTGCAGGTTGTGTGTAGGGATCCCAGTGGGTCAGTGTCCCGATGAGGAAAGGGAGGTCCTGTGAGGCGCTTCTTGTCCCCAAGGTTGAGGGATAACTGCAGTTTGGCTAGATGGAGCCATGGAGTTGGTCCCCTTATCCTCAGAAGTGGCTTGGGAGCAGATTTCAGTGTGGGCAGTCGTTTCACTGAAGGGCACTGTTGAGTTTCAGTGAGCCCATTGCAATGTGTCCCCTCCGGGGTATGCCCAAAGAAGTCTCCTCCCCGAAAGGTTCCTCCCATTGCCAATCCTGCCCAAAGTCCTTTAAAAGCCAGCAACTCCCTTGACTGGTTTCTGGGAGTCAGGCTGAGCCACGGGTTGTGTGGCTGATGGCGTCAATGTTTAATGCCTGAGTCGTGTGTCGTCGTGCATTCTTCATGGGGCAAGCTACCCACTCGTTGTCCGCTGAGGTAAGTGGATGAGTTGTATGGTGATTTTGTTGTCCCGTTGGTGTGGGAGTGGCTGCATGTGTTGTTTTTGGGTGCTTCCTTGTGCCACGGTGTTGTTTTTGGAGTGTGGTTTGAGTGGGTCATGAGGGAGAGGTGTGTTTGGCCGTGTGTGTGTTGTGGGTGTGTGGTGGAACATGTAGGTGGGCGGTGCGTGCAGTGTTGGCATCCAAGTGTGTTTCTGAGCCGAGCAGGATAGTGTCTGGTATGGGAGACTTTCCATTCGTCCTCCCTTGTGCATGTGCAAGTGTCCTTCACGTAGTAGAATTGTAAGAGCATGCGATGATCGTTTTCTAAAAGGTCTTTCAGACTTTGTTTTTTTTTCCCCTCCCCCAGTTTTCCGTCCCTCTGTCCTTTCATCCCTGCCTGTGATTCCAAGATCTTCTGTGTGAGAAGGTTGAGGGAAGACCGATGTCCCCGCTGGCTGTTGGCTGTGATGGAAGGGGTCAGGTGGGTGCAGCAGGCCAATGCAGGTCCTGTGTGCTTGTGTGAGTCTGTGTGGGGTCCTCATGAAATGGTGGGTGTGGGGAAGAGGTGCGTGCAGTGTTGGCATCCAAGTGTGTTTCTGAGCCGAGCAGGATAGTGTCTGGTATGGGAGACTTTCCATTCGTCCTCCCTTGTGGCTGTGGTCGGTCCTTGGTGATGTGGTATTTTTCTGGTCATCGTCTGGTCCCATTGTTTTCACAGGACTTGTGTGGGCAGCTGTTGGAGGGAGCCGTGGCGGATCGGTGGAGGTGGTGGTGAGTTGTGACAGCCCTGTGCCGGGTGCCGTGGAGGCGGGTGATTTTCTCCCCCGAACAGTGTGTGTTGTGTGGTTTGGCTTCCTTCCCACCGTGTGTGGTGAAGGCTGCTGTGGAAATGCTTGTTGCTTCTTTTTTTTCAGTCAAGTCATGTCTTGAAGGTGGAAGGTCCTGTTTGGCCATCCATGTGAGGTCATTGTCCTTTGGAGCTTCCCTGTGTGGTGACCCAGCATGTCCTTGGGTGGATGTGTTTCTGCTTGAAGAGGTAAGAAGGTGTTATGGTTCAGAAGGGTGAGAGTAGGGTTCAAGTGACATGAGGTGCAGAGAGCAGGAGCGTTTGCTTAGCTGGCCATGTACTGTTGTAGAAGAGTTGATTGTCATGCGGTGTGTGGAAGGATTTTATGGAACGAGGAACAGAAAGAGTGACAGGTGAGCCCATGAGGATATGTTTTGTGTTTTTCTGAGAAAGGCTGAGTCATGTAGTGTTGTTGAGTGATTGCAATACTGTGTATGTGTTTGTTGATTTGCATGTGTGCAATGTCGACCTGCTTAAGCATCGCCCTTCCATTTTGTAGGCGAAAGGGGAGAAGGTAAGTGTCCATGTTGGATGTCCCAGAGCAGGAGGTTTAGATGGCGTTTTGTTTAAGTGGCATCCTGTGTGTGGAGTGTTGTAGGGCATAGAGAGGCTGGGGTATGGATGACCATGTAGTCCTCCAAGTTTTGGCATATGCAGTGGAAGTTGGGAATCCTGGAAGTTTCTTTTTTGTTTTTTGAGTTGGGTCAGATAGGATTCCTGTGTGTGTGTGTGTGTGTGTGTGTGTGTGATGTTTCACCTTTTGGCACTGATGTTGTGTTAAATGGCGAAGCAATTTAGTATTTGTCATGAAGAATGTAATGTTATGCTTGGATCCCTTAGGTTCCTCTGTGTTGAGGTGGTTCATGAGGAAGATGGTGTTGTGTTTGATGTTTGCTGAGTGCGGCCCAGGCTAAAATTGTCGTCCACCTCCTGGGTGAGAGTGGGTTCTTTCATTGCTGGAAGCTCATGCATTCGTGTCTGTTCTCTATAGGTGGTGTTTTCTGTCCTTTGTTGCCCAGGTTGTGACAGGTGTAGTCAGTGGATGGTGTTTGGCAGTGAAAGCAAACATGAATGCTTTGTGGCGTGTTCACGTGCAAGAGACCACTGCCTAGACGTGCAAGTAAGGGCCTGTGATTCTTTTTTCCGCAGCATTCTTGTGCATTGATGAGTGTTGGGTGGTGTTTGAGCGAAGGCGTCCAATGCCATCTTGGAGTAAGAGCAAGTGTGTGTGAGTCAGGGAGGGTCAGGCCATGTCAAGAGTGTTTTGTTGTGACTGCAACTAGGGGAGCCACTTCAGGCAACTTTTGTTGCTTGTATCAGGCATGTTTATTTTCTTCTCCTAGTCATGCAATGTATTTTTCAAGTTTTCCAGTGGCGTGGGCTATCCACATGTGTTTCTTGTCTGTTTAGTTTTGTTTAGCATCCCTCTTTTTTTTTAAATATATTTTATTGATTTTTTACAGAGAGGAAGGGAGAGAGATAGAGAGTTAGAAACATCGAT